TTAGTTTTAATGTAAGTTATATTTTAAAATGCATCAATTAGCGCTATATTAGAAAATTTTACTAATCAAATGTAGTTGATTAATAAGGTTTCTATATTTTATTAAGTTTCAGTAATTAAATGATATTAATGCATATCATTTTATTAAAGAGTATTACACATACATGTTTAATTAGTTCAAGAATTCAAATGTTATAAAGAAAAGGAAAAACTTAGTAACAAAAAAGAACAAAATAATTAAAATTTTTAGATTCAAGTTAATATTATAGGTGAGCCAAAGGACTAGAAAGGCCGAGGAAAGGATAACAATTGCATTTAACAAAATATGTTTTATTCTTGTAATTGTTTTGTTTATTTATATATGTTTTTATTGTTTTCTAGTTTTTTTTTTGAAATGAAAAAGTTCATATTTCTCTTTTAAATGTTAAATGCAAGTTAAGAAATAATATATGATATATGCATGCCAATGTACTGTGGATGGAGATGAAAATGAAAATGGTTGTGAGTTGGAAAATAGTAGACATATATTATTTTAAAGTGTACGTTTGGACAGTGAATTCTAATAATGAAAAGTGTAATAGAATTAAATGAAAGTAATTAGAAAACAGTTTTCTTTACTGTTTTTTTAATGAGCATAATCTTTTACTGTTTATCGCATTTTTACAAAATATTTTAAAATAAAATTTATTATAATTTAAAAATATTTGTCCACTAAGTAGTTTAACTTAAACCTGCAGTTGCTAATATTATTGTAGGAAAACCAACTTTAAACTAGTTGGATCCTAGAGAGTATGTGTATAAGACATTGAGGAGCTTATGTGGGTAGGCACCATGTGTTATTTTTTATGTTTTGTGAGTTGTAAATATTTAAAAATCTGTGTGAAATGGTTGTAACAATTAATTTTATAAATAGAACAACTGTTTTGTGTTTGAATTTCATTTTAATTTTGAAATGAAATTGGTAAATTGTTTTTCTCCGTTCGACAGTCAGTTTTCGCCTCGGTAATTTTAAGCTCTCAGGTCGTGTCGTGATATCGTGAGAAGAAGGGACTTAAGAATGGACTAACTTGGTGATCTGACATGTGTCCTAGGGGAGCATAGAGGCTTTCCTTGATTCTTAGCTAAGGTTTGAATTATGCTTCATTTTTTATTTAGCTTAATGTTTGAATTTCACTTGGAATTGATCATATATAGTTAAACTTAGTATTAAGCCACCTTTAGATTTACTTTTTGTTTAGATTGTTTAATTCAGTTTGAGTTTGTTAAATTTGAATTCTTGTAGTAATTTGTATTAACTGTTTCAGTTATGCTTTTTATAGATTTTTATCGGGACCATTTTAATTTGTTAGTTCGAATTAGGTGTAGAATGGGTTCAATCAACCTTAAGTTCAATTCCAATTAATTCAATTTTATGTTAATTTTAATCTTAGTTTGATTTTAATTTAAATATAAGTTTTAGCCATGCAAACCTTAACAAGCCATCAGGGTTTTGAGAAGCAACCCCCAAATCAAGCTTAGGTTCCCCGAGTTTCAGAAAGATCTGACCATTAGCTCCTAACTACATAAGGTGATCTAGGTCTTCTTGGAGGCTAGTTGGGACAGTAGGACAGGGATTGGGCCACACAGACCAGGATCAACTTGAGTAAAGTAGGGCTAACTATCCACCTAGGAATACTAGAAAGGACATTTAGGCTTAGAGAAGAATGACTAAGGCCATATGAGGGAGAGTTGACCATTAGTGTGAGATCAAGGAAGACTTGCACAATTTTTAAAGTCATGTTTAAATCAATTACATGAACTCAAAGAATGTGCAAGCATCTCAAGTTTAGTGCAAAGCTCTCGAAAAGCATGGACCTAACAAATGTGCATTACTTTAACAGTTGGTGTATTTGTCTAATTTAAATGTCTTTAAGAAATGTGCATATTTCTTGATAATCCTTCTAATGCATCAAAATTTTGCATAGGTAACTTGCAGACACTTTGAAAATTGTGAAGTTCATGCATTCATCTATTAATAGGTGACTAACAAAGCATTTTAAAATATGCACAATTGTACATTGCAGTTGCATTGAATTACGTGTAATATATCCTGAAAATGCATATGAATTTATGCACTTGTATCGTGCAAATACGTTGAGATGTATAATTTATTAAAGTAAAATACTCGCATGTTCTCAGATCAACACACTAATTATCTAAGTATACAGTTGAGAATTAATTTAATTATTTCTCGCTCAAACATTTGAAAATTTCTTAATTTTTTAAATTTATCAATTGATATGCTCTATAATCATGCCGAACACTCAAATACACAATCTGAGAATTGTTTGCAGGGTTATGATAAAATAAGCCCATATTCATCTTCTGCTCAGAGAACTGTGTAATTATCTTGAAAAATTATGCAATCATTTCAAAGCCTTAAAAATCTCATTTTCACGAAAAATTAAATTATCTTAATGCCACACATTGTTCTTGATCATGTTGTCTTGTTTTCAAGGTAAGATCTTAAGCCCCACGCGACTGTTTTGATTCTCCTGATAAGGATCAAAGTTGATCATATTGAATTCTATCAAATCAATCCAATCTTCCTTGCAAAAATTAGAGTTGAAATGACTGACCCTCTGATGATATTTAAATATAAGTTTCAATGAAAATTGCAATCTTGCATAATCTCAATGAACATTTGAAGCTTTTTTTTCTAATAATGATATTATTAATCATTCTAAAATAGCCATGACATATTATGAATTATCAAATATGAAGCTTTTAAATTACAAATATAAATAAAAAAGAATATCCCTCGATGATAGCTTTGTTAATAGAAAATTTCAATATGTAAGGTCTATTTTTAAAATTAGGTTCTTAAGAATATTTAAATAAACTCAATTAATATAAGTAATGAATAATCTTTTATAAGCGAGATAGAGTCGACTGAGTTTAATACAATCAAATTCTCTGATGATAGTTTTGTTGAAAGAGAATATCAATCGAAGGGGGTATTTTCACCAACATATATTGAACTCTAATAACGTTTAAATAAATTCAAAAAAATCAATAAAGTTATAAATATTAACATTTCAAATCAAAATAAAATTACTAAAAGCTTAAAACAGAAACTATCTACCCTCTACAATTTGTAGAAGGCTATGTTCACAAGGAGCTAATGCCATTTTAGATATGTTGCATGTTCACTTTCAAAATAGTCTACACCCATAGGGATGTGACCTGAATTCTCTATCTGTGTGGTTTGGTCAACTGACTCCTCAAATATAGTACAATTAGAGTTATTTGACCGCGAGGTTTGGTTAGACATGCTTCAATATGTTTTATTCATAACTATAATTCGTAGGCTACCCTATAACTTTTTGCCTTTTGAGATGCAAAATGTAGGTTGTACTCGATTAGATAGAAAGCGCTCTTTAATTTATTCTTCTCAGACAAACAACTATCTCATATCTATAAGGTCTTCTTTGATTAAATAACTCATGGTTATTGCCAAGCTTTTTTTCGATCAGGTTGGGTCAATTATCTTCTCTGATTCACTAGAACAGGGATCTTGACATTCTGAGACAACAAAATCATGAGACCTTGATTGAGATTGTCACTATTCCTCCCACGACGCGCACTTAAGCTTATGGTGATAAATTTTTGCAATTTAAAATTTTAAATCTATTGCTATTATATATTGAATATTCAACATCCTAAGAACTAGCCTTAATCTCAAGTGTTACCTTTATTGAAAAACGTAATTAATCATTGAGACTTGCGCGTATGGGAAGTTTCGAACCCCAATTATTAAAGTAATTACACAATCAACAACAACAACAACAAAGCTTTAATCCCACTACGTGGGGTCGGCTACATGAATCCTTTTTCTCCATTGCGTCCTATTGAGTGTCATATTTTCATTAAGTTCTAGTAAATTAAGATCATTTTTAATACAATAAGCCCAAGTCTTCCTAGGTCTACCTCTGCCTTTCTTAACACAAGTCGAATTTAAAACATCTACTCTCCTAATCAGATCATCTAATGGTCGACGTTTAATATGACCAAACCATCTCAGATGACTTTCTCTAATTTTGTCTGTCACAGGAGCTACACCAACCCTATCACGAATATATTCATTCCGCAATTTGTCTCTAAGTGTAAAGCCACTCATCCACCTAATCATTCTCATCTCGGCAACACTTAACTTATTATTATGCTTCTCTTTTAAAGGCCAACATTCAGCGCCATAGAGCATTGCAGGTCTCACCACCATCTTATAAAATTTTCCTTTCAGTCTTAGCGGTACTTTTCTATCACGAAAAAGCTTACGATAAGGTTCCAAGAGATATCCTTTGGAGAGTTCTCGAGAAGAAATGTGTTGATATGACTTATATTGAAGTCATTAAAGATATGTATACTAGAGCTGTTACTTGTGTTCAAACTGAAGGAGGATTGACAAAATATTTTCCTATTTCTGTTGGTTTACATCAGAAATCGACTTTAAGCTCATATCTTTTTGCTTTAGTTATGGATGGTCTTACTGGACATCTATAAGAGGATGTACCTTGGTGTATGCTAAGCATACACCAAGGTACATCCTCTTGTAGATGTCCAGTAAGACCATCCATAACTAAAGCAAAAAGATATGGGCTTAAAGTCGATCCCTGATGTAAACCAACAGAAATAGGAAAATATTTTGTCAATCCTCCTTCAGTTTGAACACAAGTAACAGCTCTACTATACATATCTTTAATGACTTGAATATAAGTCATATCAATACATTTCTTAAAGTACTTACACAATGAGGTTGAAATATTTGAGTAATGTCTTATATGTAACTTAATTTGCCTTCTGAAAATTTGATGTAGATTCACAACAAATATTCTTTCATTCATCTTCCGAGGGAGACCCAAATGCAAATTTTCGGTGCCCACAATTGTCATCTATTTTCTTATTTACATAGCTTTTCAAAATGATAGTTCTAATTTTTATTTTTTGTTGTCTTAAATGCAGGGTTTGGCGGGAAATTATCCTAGAGGTAATAAAGAACTTCAAGGAGCTTATTTCAATATTCATGGGCCACAAGATACCATGAGTTGGTTCTCCAATCATGGTGTTGATCTTAAGGTGGTTATTCTTGAAATATGTAATTTATTTTCTTTTCTCCTTTTCCATGCTTGAGGAAATCTCCATGAAGGAATTTATCTTTGTACACCAGATAGAAGAAGATGGAAGAGTTTTTCCAGTCAGCAATAATTCATCCTCTATTGTGGATTGCCTTCTAGGTGAAGCAAAAAAGATGGGAGGTATTATTTCCATCCTTCAGACATAATATAAGTTCAGCTTGACTTTGAATCCGCTCATTAAACTAGGATGATGCTATACTATGCTGCTAGAAGTCATTTATTAAGCTTGTTGTTGGTTTGTGGCTTGGGCTAGTAGTGCTAGGTGCTATAACAACTCTATCTGATTGTTTTTCCTCTCTTTTGTGCAGAAAATTGCAATGCAAAGTGTTATCTTGCCATTTCATATTTTCAACTTTTGTAATTAATTAAGCTGCTGGGATTTAAGAAATTTTGTTGCCATGTTCAACCATTTGCTGGCTTGGGATTTTCTTGAATTCTCCATTTTTTTTCTATTTGGGTACCACGGCGGGATAGTTTAGCATGATCTTGGGGCAAATTAGATGCAAAATACCAGTTTGCTCTGCGTTAGATCTTTTCTGAAAAAATACCTAAACAGAGAATGCTTCTTCTAGCTGGATTTTGTTACTTGTATTTTAATTCATTTACACATAAAGATAAGTTATTTCAACTGAATGCAATTCATCACTTATTCATATCGGTATATGGACTTAGCTTTAATTATTTTTTTCTTTTTTACAATGCTATTCTTCCCGTTGCTACACCTTGGTTAAATTTGCCATACAAAATGGGCTTCCTAGACTCAACACAGTATTTTGTTGTAGTTCAACTGCAAATAGGCAAAGTTATCTCAAATGTATCTATCAGCTATAAAGGAAAATTCAATCTGAGGATTGAGAAACGAACCATTGATCTTGTGGAGGATATTGAGGCAGACTTTTTGTTGGTTGCAACTGGTAGTTGCCAGCAGGTTGGAAGAACATTCTGTGTCGTTGGAACTAACAACCTTGCTTCAAAATGACCATTATTTAATCATGTTGTATCAGGGTTACAAGCTTGCTGTCCAACTTGGACATTCTATTGTACAGCCAATGCCCAGCATTTTTACATTCAAAATAGAGGACAACAAGCTGCAATCTTTGTCAGGGGTAATGCTTCATGAATTTCATGCTATAGCTTTTTACTTTTGTTTCCCCTACTGCTTAGTCCATGTTTTCAGCAGAATTTTGTAAATCTGCTCTGTTCATGCATCTACAAGTCTTGCTTAGCTGTAGCTTAACAATTTGTTTCATTTAATTTTCATTATGAATGCTAAAGTGCCCTAGATTATGATAAGGAATTCAGCCATGCAGTATTTTGTTTTTTAATTGTTTAAATCTGATTTGCTGTACAAAAAATTAGTTTCATGGCTGGATTTATTATATTTTTCTAGGGGGACTATATGGTCATGGCTTTAGTAGCTTTAGTAAATGATACCGGAGTTAACTCAAATGACAATAGAAATGCAATTTTATTTCTGAAACACAAAAGGGATTACAAATACCTATCCTCGAAATATGAAAAAAGCTTAACAATACAAGGTAGGGCGTAAGGCAGAGAGGCGGTGCGGTGGGTAGTGGGGAAGTGGGATTGATGGTGGCTATGTGGTGTGAGAGAGACGGGCTGAAGGGGAGTTTGTAGGTGTTGCGGTGCCTATAGGGGCGGAGTAAGGTGTTCGGTAGGGGAAGGACATGGCGAGGGGCTTAGCGGCAGTTGGAGACGGTAATCTCGGGAAGGAAGCAGACGGATAGTACGGGAGCCGATTGTGCTGGCGAAGGTTACGACAAAGCAGTAGGGAGAGTTCTCAATTGTAAGATCGAGATACAGCTTGAGCACCCTTCGATGCTTTGGAGAAGATTATCAAGTTGGACGAGCAAAAAGCGGAGCACATCCTTGCCTTTAGATACAACTCTAAAATGGAAAACAATCGCCGATGGTGAGCCGAATAGAAATCTGAACTCAGAAAGACCAAAAACTAAGCCGTATGACAACAACACATGTATAAATAGAAGATGGATAGACGTGAAACAAAAACAAAAAGGGTGAATAATTCCCGCCCAATGAAAAGAGAGAGAAAGGGCCGGTCTAGCCTCTTGCTAAACCGAGCCTTCTTTTGCTGAATCAGTAGGGGCTGGTTCAGCCCCAAGTTCCGTGCAAGTAAATCCTCTAAATCCAGATTTACTAAATCCTGTCAACAATAGGATTTAATAAGTCTGAAATTTAAGGCAAAACTAAGAAGGAATTGAGAAGGTACGAGATTTGCTAATTCCTTGATTTAAAATTTTAATTTTTTTGTCTGACAATATTCAAGTTAAATCATACTTAAATCTGTTACCATACAACTCCTAAGAACGGACATACTCTTCGTTGCGCCTAGCCCCATTGCTACACTTGTGGAGGCAATGGTTGCATAAGTCTCTGGCATGTACAAGGAGTATCCTGTGTTGTGACATACAAATGTACAATTGCAAATGCATGTGCTTATATGTATATGGTGCAGGCTCAGCTGTATACATGTTATTGTAGGTCTTTGTATACATGTATTAGTTTTGGTTTTGCTATATTCATCTAGTTTAGACTTGCGCCATTGTATGACTTGCCGAGTCAATTGATACTCCATATTTTATATCTCTATATATAATAATTGAAATTTAATAATAATAATAATAATAATAATAATAATAATAAAATACTGAAAGAAAATTTAGAATCGGTCGCAAGAAATAATCATCTGGATGATTGTACTTCAGAGACGGGTGTTTTCCTTGACCCTAAGGAAACAAAACTGAGAACAATTGAGCGAGCGGGAGACCAGAGAGCGAGGGAAGAAGAATCAAAGAAGGAGGGAGGGAGAAGGGCTTGTTTCCAGCCCTAAATTTTTGGCTTGTCTGTGAGAGAAGCAATAGGAGTAGCGATAGTGAAAGAGAGGAAGAAGAGGAAGAAAAATAAGCCGTGTGTATCTCTTACTTGATTCGATGCCTAGCCTTAGCCAAAAGGAAACAACATAGTGCGAAGCAGTAGATGAAGGGGAGGAGAAGGCTTGTGTGTGTGGTGCTTGGTTGTGTTAGGGCCGAAGGAGTGGGAGTCAATGTCGTGGTCGCGTGCGGGGCTAAGTTGAGAAGGCATCGAAGGCACTAGAGGAGGGAGCTCGCATGGTGTCGTGTGTGATTCTAGGGCAGTAAATAGTATATTTGAGTTTTTTTTTTAAATAATTTAATTAATATATTGTTATATATTGCACACATATATGTGTGTTTGTGTGTGAGTATGAGTTTAATTAAACAAGTGTTAATATAAAGTTACTTGAATCAGAATCGTAATTTTTAAGCTCCAAATTTGAGTGGGGCAGGGTGATGTAAATTTCCTGTGCGAGGAAATGGAAAGAATTCAAACGACAATCGGAGAAGCCGTAGAGCATGACTAAGAGTTTCGAGGAGAATTTGGAAAGTGGTACGCAAATTACGACATTCCCTCTCTTCCTCGCATCGTTCTTCTTGACCCTAAGGGAACCCGCGACTCGAACACTATATCCAGAGTCGAGAGGAGCAAGCGACTAGGATTCTGGGTTCTGGGATGAAATCAACAAGTGGTAATCCCTATTTCATGCTATTTGAGACAATTATTTTTTTTCCTCTTACTTCCATTCCATATGCGACGGATTTTGTATTTTCTCGTTTCCAGTAGCTGTCGGAGGCACCAAATTTGCGTTGGAAGTGCTGAATGTGCGTTGCGAGCTTCATAAGGGCTTTAGCACAAAACCAACAAAGATAGAAGAAGGGTCAAGGAGAGAAGAATAAGAGAACAGGAAATCTTGGCAGATTTGGAGAAAGGTCGGGTTGCCAAGAAGGCCGGTTAAGGTGCATTTGAGCTATTCAATTGGTTAAATTATACTTTATGAACCAAGATATTTTGAAATCGTAAGATATTAGCGAAATCAAGATTGTGTTCTCTCAAGGCAACGAGCTTGTGGAAAACTCGTCGTAGGGTGACTTTGTCAATTCAGGTAATATTATCCTACTCTAATTATGTAAAATAATTTAATTAACGGAAATTGCATGAATTTTAATGATTGATATAATGTTTCATGGGTTAAGATCACGTTAGAGGTTATCCAACATCTAACTAATTACTGAAATTTGAAAACTTAGCGTGACATCTGAAGTGAGTAATTACATTTCTAAATTTCAGTAGTTTTTTTTTATTTTAGAATGTATGCTTAACTCTTTGTATGCTCTAGTTTAGTCAGATTCTTCATATTGTTAGGTAAAAAATATATGCATGTCAGAAATAATATACGAGATATTCATGAAAGATATGTATGAGATGCATCATATGTATAATTCGTATGATATGAAAGATAAACATGATAAGAAACATATGCATGATAAACATGATAGAAAAAAATATACATAATATAAAAGATATGCGTGAGGTAAGTGATGCATGATATGAGAGTTATGTATGATGAATAATTACACAATAAAATAAGAGTATGTAGGTCTGTTATTAGATGTATAAAGATATTTCGGAATAATGTATGTTATGAAGAATAAAATATCTTATATATTAATGCTTGTATGTGCATGTTCAAAGAAGAATTTCACCTCTAATAGTACATGCAGTGGACACAAGTGTTCCCGTGTGCGTAAAGTTGTTCTACCACCCCAGACAATTATGATTGTTAGATCACTAATCATTGTTCTGACGAGATAATATCGGTCAGGAGCGAGCATAACAGAGCTTGCTTCCTTATATAATTATAATGTTTATATTGCTAACCACTGTGCCAACGTGATAATATGAGCTAGGAGGCAGGTAAGGGACTTTTTACTCTAGATAATTGTGATTTTTACATTGTTAACCGTTGTGTCGATGAGACAATATCAACCAAGGGTGTGTTAGATTTTACTGATGGTTATTCTCACCGAGTCAGATGTAAATACATATAAAAGACTTGGATGTGACCAATAGCAGTCGACGACTGAACACATATGCCACTGTTCTGGCAAACTGAAATGAGGCTAGATATTCTAAGGTTGCATGTCGTCTCTTTAGTTTGCTCTGGTTTTTGAGGAATTTTAGGGCCTCATGATCTATAAATAGTGTAAACTCTTTGGCCAATAGGTAATGACTTCAATGTTTCTGAGCTCTTACGATGACGTAGAATTGTTTGTCTTAAGCTGAGTACTTTTTCTTGGACTCATTTAATTTCTCACTGAAGGAAGCGATGGGGTGCCCTCCTTGGCTTAGTACTGCTCCAATCCCCACGCTGGAAGCATCACATTCTACCTAAAAAAATTGATTGAAATTTGGTAGTGCTAGCACGGGGCTTGAGTCGGCTTTTGTTTTAGTGTGTCAAAACTATCTTGAGTTGCGACTGTCCAAGTAAACTTCTTTCCTTTCAGAAGTTCAGTCAGAGGGGAGGTGATGGTGCTAAAGTTTCTGATAAATCTTCAATAGAAGGATGCTAGTCGCAAGAATTGCCTCAACTCGGTGAATGATTATGGTACGATCCAATTGATAATGACCTCTATCTTTACGGGATCCATCTGTATGCCTGCATGAGACACGATGTAACCCAGAAAGCATACCTGTCTTGTCATGAAGTGACATTTCTTCAGATGACATATAGTTTCTCGGTTCACAATATCTTGAATATTGCCTTCAAGTGATGCAAGTGATCATCCTCCGTCCGACTGTATAATAGAATGCCGTTAAAATAGACGACGACAAAATTTCTGATGTGAGGTCAGAATACTGTTGACCTCATTTTTAGTGAGGTCTTAAGTCT